CCCACCAAACATGCTCGCCCTTTCAGCTGTGTGGACGTTATAATGTGATGGTCAATCCCACTATTCGTTGGTAAAAGAATAGCCCAAGAGTTGGCGGGGGGTGGTGATGACTAGCTGCCTTCCCTCTAGTCTTACACTGCTAAATTAGGGACGGCTAGCGCAGATAGCCCTCGTGTAGCTTTGCGCGAAATTCAAAACAAACAATACATAGAGAAATATAATACTTCTGAATTAAATTTAAAAATGTGTAAAAGATACACTCACCCAGAGTCAGCACAAGGCTTCATCGCTCTCTTACCTTAACCCCACCAGTAGATCCTCGAGTGTAGCTGTAATTTTATGGTTAGCTGCCATGGTAGTCATATGGTGTCCTGAGCTTTGATCAGAGTTCCTAGGTGTCAGTCAGCTTGACCTGCAAGTAGCACACCTGTTCCTGAAGCCAAGACAGATGCAGAGTTCTCCATCACATCTGATCCTCCTCTCAGTTGTAGAGAGTCCAATCTTTGGTCCACATGATGGCTATTTCCTGGCAGTTCCATTTGTAGGTGGGAATCTACTCTAACGTGAGCAGTTGGTAATCCTCGTAAGTGGCTGTGTTGGAAGACATTTCTGATGCCTCTTCATTTATTGAACATATTCTTGATGGCAGTGGAGAAGACATTCCAGGAGCTGACTGAACCATCTGCATTGCTGTGATTACAAAAAGGGAGATGGTAATGGTATTGACAGTAATTAGAGGACCCAACATGCTCCCAGATCCTGATCGACTCTCGAGAACATTCAAGCTCTGTAACGGTTTTCTTGAGTTTCGGTATATAGAATGTTCATCAGAAATGTGAACAAATCTATCTACGTCAGTGTTTGGTGAAATGACACTTTCCAATGGGACATTTCATAAGTGAGTCCCATTTCTTTCTAGACAATGTTGCTGACTGTTTTTACTGGGGTCAGGAATGGTGGTGGTGTCTGCAGCTTGGCCACTTGGAGGTTATGCTCCTCTGGCTTTGATGAGGCCATGGTTACAAGTACACCATCCTTGAATGGTACATCTAGGTGGTCTTGAATTCTGCTAGACCTACCACGAATGATGGGGACAGCTCAGCCAAAGTACACTTCAGGGCCAACCCAACAACATGTGCAGTGAGCTCTCCCATGTCTGATGCATCTTCATCAAGAGGCTTGGCTATCATGAGCTTCAGGCTGGTTCAAATGAGTCTGAGGATTGGCTGCATAGTCCACTTCTTTAGTGTATAAATTCTGGATTTAATAATCTTCATCAAACTGATGGCTCACTGTACACCTCACAAAAGTTTTCAAAAAGTCAGCAGCTAGATAGGATGAATATTTGGAGAAAGAAATAACCAGAGTGGTCAAGAATTTGACCTTGCATAGAAAAAGTCCTGTTTGAAAACATAAGACATAAATTACAATAATTCAAAAATTCAACCAGATGTTTGGGTTTAAATAAGTCATAACTGCTCAATTATTTCCATGATTACCCTAAAAATATTTAGACATTATATAGTAAGTTTTGTATGTTGATCAAATGAGATTTCTTCGGACTTTACATGTACTCATGCCATATATCAACTGTACAAAATCTATCCTTAATGCCTGTGAACATCTCAATCCCCAGGCTTCATTGGCCAATACTTTCAGCCGTGATGCCCTCTTTTGTCCTTTCTGAACAACAACCAACACAGCCTACTTTCGAACATGTCCTCAAATCCTTTATCTACTGCCTGGCTATCAGTAGAATTCAGTTCCATTAGAAATCAAAGATGTTTGAAATTACAGAACTGGTTCCTATATGCATAAACTCTCTCGGATTAGGCAATGTCAGCCCTCACTTATGACCATTTGAACCTACTAATGTTTACGTAGTAACTACTTAGGGACCTTCTTTTAGTTTAGTATTTGTTTTGGTGCAACTTATAAAGTTTCACCAAACAGATGTTATTACCCCTTCTAGTACACTTGTAGTCTGAATTTCCTTGTGTTAACGTTTTACTTGTACTGAAGCAATGTTAAGAAAATATTCAGTAAAACAGGGTGCTTATTAAAACATTTGAATATTGATACATCAAATTTACATTAAATATTACATCTAAGCTACTGTCCATGATTTTCAATTGCTACCGATAATTACACCTACTCACGAATATTTAACTTAAAATTGAAATATCTTGAACAACTCTTAGCGAAAAACTGTTTTCTCCCAAGTGTTGTTTCTTCATTACCCCGGTCCACCCATGAAAAGTTTCTACCTGCCAGTTATTTCAATGTCGAAACATTCTCCCAGAAGTATTAATGGAAATAGCAAGTGCCCACTATCTTTAGATAATACCCTCTAGATCAATAACCACGTTTAACTTTAAACCACAAAGTTTTAACACTCAAATCGAATCCGTTGTTTTTACATTTTCCTTATTGTTGGCTCTTTGTCTAATTAATTTATTTTTGCTATTCAACACTCATGAATAACTTTATGTAATGTTTATATGGACATATATTTATTCATATGGATATATTGCTATATACATATAATCATTACACATTGTCACATGCTCTAGTAGCTTGAAACAGATTGCTTCTAGCTCGGGCGCAAATTACTTGGGAAAGCTATCTAACTTTTCGCTTTCAGACATCACGAAACAAATATTCACTGGCAAAACTCATCCAAACTAGGAACTTTCAGCTATAGCTTCCACCAGCAAAAGAATAATATCCATGCTATTATTGCAGTATATTAAAATACTCTCAGAAGAAACTCAATTACCTCACTGCTTGTAGAAACGTTATACATTCTCTAGTTTGCAGGTGAGAATCTAGCGAGGGCAAAGTAGTTATGCTTCAACTTTCAATACTGAGCTAGACAAGTAAGTGATCCTCTCGAAATGTCCGATAACGTCTTGCATTAGAACATTCACTTGGTATGTTAATGAGATAATGACTACTGTATGTGATTACACGTTCTACTATGTCCTGCAACTGCAATGATACTGCTCAGACCCCATTACGGCTGGTGTCAGTGGATAATAGGAATCTGCTTTCTTGGATATTCTCGCCATGGATCTTCCACCAAAGCAAGCTTTAGGGGTTGGAATGAATGTTTAATTTTTTTGCATCCTACAAAGAGTGTCTCAATTTTGGCGAGAGCAGACAAAGTTAACCACACATCGTCAGTAATATGACGCAAAACCAAGTAATTTGCAGACTTTTTATTTGGACACAGGTTGAGGCCAGTCTCTCACCACTACTTTAGCTGGTTCTAGATACTCCATTTCTACCTACAACATGATTGATAAACTCCACTTGTGTGTGTATAAGTTTGCAATTTGATTGTTTCAGTTTCAAGCCTGCCGTATTGCATCCATTGTAATATAATAATCAGATTTTTAACTACAGACTCGAACCAATGACCCAGACATTAATCTCTACACTTTATAAATTTGTTTTCCTCTTTCTTGATTTTCGTGCAAAGCTGCTCGAGGGCTATCTGCGTTAACCGTCCCTAATTCGGAAGAGAGAGCTTAGGGGTAAGGCAGCTAATCTACACCACCAACTCTTGGGCTATTCTTTTACCAACGAACAGTGAGATTGACTGTCACATTATAACACCTCACAGATGAAATGGCCAGCATTTTCGATCGAATCCGCTACCCACAGATTGTCATAACCACCAGGCCACGTTGGTCTCATTATTCAGTTAGAGTAGCCCAAGAATTTGCAGTGGATGTTTCTAGCTAGCTGCCTTCCTTCTTAGCCCATCATTTCAAATTTCAGGATGGTTAACGCAGACAGCCCCTTTTATAGCTTTACACGGATTCCCAAAAGAAACATACACCTATGTTATAGCGTTTTCAGCCCTTAGACTTACTAAGCCAACTAGTGGCAGTATTTAATTAAGTGTAACTTTTAACAGCAAATATATATAATTAAAATGAGACGCCATTTGTTGTGCTTGAGTCGCATTTTCCACATAATAACACTATTAATTTTGAGTTTAACTATGTTTCAAAGTTTGATTCATGACTTCAGAAGTTTCACGCAACTTTTTTCTTTCAATATCACATTTTTGCCCTATTGACTGAGAAATTGATTACAGAAAATTCCGACAAAACAACCTATAAATTTACCAAGTAAATTAAAACTGTCCCCCCACCAAAACCTAGTTGCTGGGTGGAAGAATACAATTATTTTTATTTCACCATGTGCTTTTCTACTGTGAACATCAAAACACAGTAAACATTATCAATTAAATTTATAAACAAGAGGGAATCCTCAATAACCGCGGCACTTGAAATTCGTTTAGGCAGGATTAAATTAATCTACGAGATATTTTCTTCCCTTGTTATCAACTATATTTTTGTGCGTTTGTAATACCAAGCGTGGGATACATGTATACCCAATAAAATGTCATTACTCATAAGGATCTCTACCAGCCTACTCTCAAATTGAGACCTCAGGATTAGTCAAATATATCAATCCAAAGGGTCCAAAACCGTAATTAGATCTTAAATCGGTCAAGAGATGATGGAGAGCTACGAGCTAAAAGTTTGTACTTCAAAAAATCAATGTTATGCCACAGCTAAAAATACGGGCATGGACTGAAGAAAAATCAAATCTAAGAATTTATTTTCAGTCGGGCATGCTTCTTCTGTTCACATACACACAAGCTCACGTTATTTTAGTATTTAAGAAGTTTTATCCAAAACCTATAATGTTTGTACACGGTACATTTGGCAAAGACAGATAAATGGAATGAAAAAAATTGTTATGAACATGTGCAGTGATTACTGGGGAATAAATTATAAAATAAAAAAAGTTTAAAAAACTAGTTTATGTTAAACTACTTTGTAATAAATATAATTAATTTGATGAAATCATCGAATAACATTTTCACCTTTTGGTCTCCCTTTCTGAAGTCTACTATGTCACAGTAATTTTCACTTACAAAAGGAAAAAAAAGAAAAGAAATACACACACAACTCTAGAAGTCCGGCACCAGCATCCTTTTATTTACACTTTGTGTACAGAGTCGGGGAAAGCATCTTGGATCCTCCCACTGCATGTACTCCTATTTAAGATCTCTTGTGACTTATACTAAATAGTAAAACACAAGTTTACAATTTCACGGTGACAAAAATTGTGATAATGTAAATAAAAAACACCTGCCATTTACCGGACTTGTTTTGCAAAATATTTAAGACATTTTTTTGTTCCAAGTGGAAAATATGACGCTATTATTACATAAATGGGGTGCAGTTTTTCCATGTTTGTCATTTTACGAAGAGAAACTGGAATTTCTACAAGCAGTGAAATATTTCTACCCATTTATCCATAAAAATTGTAAGGACTTTTTAAAGTATAAATACAATTCGAATAAGAACACACGCAAGACATAAAAGTTCGACATTTGAAAATATACAATGAATTGTGAAAAACTTCGTACATATGAATAATACAACCTTAACTTATGAATCGTGGTTCTACTAAAATAATTATAACAATGCTTAAAATTAACTTGGTTTAACTGAAAAACGATATATACGAGGGTATTGCATGAGCATAAAAATTAGTTTCTGTTTTAATAAACTACAATTTTGAAAAGGAATGTAAATTTAATGAAAAAGACTGTGCATTGGTCCCAGTTAAAAACAAACATTTACTGAGATGGTTGGTTATATATCTATAAAAAGATAAATACAATTCTAACAACAAGCTTCATTGAAAGCTATGAAACTTTGGCATACCTTAAAACTGAGATTACTGTATTTTTTTACAAATGATCAACATACCAAAGTAGCATATACTAAAAAAAAAAAGGTTAATAAGAGTCTGCATAAATTAAAATCTTTGGAAACAAACTAATACTGAGAAGAAGTAGAAACAAAACAAGAGTTTCAACTTTTGATTTTACAATGAAGTTCACCTTACTTCATTCATATGTGACATAAAGATTGAGTTAATGAAATAAAAACCACACACACATATTTAAACTCATATACACTCCACTTATGGCCTCATTTGAAAGGGGAGGTTCAGACTTACTTCAGAGTAAGCAGTATTACAAGCCCAGAGTGTCAGTTTAATGGCACAATAATTTTCATTATAATAAGCAAAATTTAACTCAGTATCACAAATATCATCCAAATACTAAAAAAAAAAAAAAAGAGCCACAGTAGGTTAAATACACAAGTAAGCATGTAATATCAAAGTATGATTGTGTGATTAAAAAAGAGGAACACTAATGATACTAATAATTACATGCTATGAAATGTTTATCAGACATGTCTATTTACAGATATATTTGAAAAATGGCTACACTGTACTGAGAATCATGAGACATTAAACAAATATTTAACAGTCCCTATCATATATATAGGGACCACAGGAAGCATCTTGAACAGTTTTTCCATTACCGTGTATGAAAACTAAAGTTTTACAGATATGTAAAAAAAAAATCTACTGCACTTCTGTCAAATCTTTCTTCAACATTTCTGGCAGGAGCACTTGACAGGAAAAAAAACAACAAAAACCTGCTACAACAAACAAACAGTAGAATACTTTGAAATACAATAAATATGTAGATATTCTAAGCCTCATTCACAATGTTTAATACCTTTAATCATTAGCTGTCTGGTGTTATAATAATAAAATATGTAACCCTTTCTCAGTCAACAGTCTTGGTACTAGAGAAACTAAGCATTACATACAAGTTGATATATATACACATGTATATAATGCACTGTGCAGATCAACTCGTATCACAAAACAAAGTTGTACATGGTAGTATAAACATCAAGTTGTGACCAAACTTTTTGTTTTCTTTAAATAATCAACTATGATTACAAGCAGTAAAGTAAAAGACATGACAATGAAAACGTATAAAAAAATTTACAATAAAAGTGTCAGCTATTAGCTACCAACAGAAACAGCATGTGCCAACACTTTCGTTTTCTTTCTACAGTTTTCTGGAACACTGGAATTTTTATCAAGTGCACTTGAAGGACTGGAACAACTTCAAGACTTGTACTCCATAACAAATTTTTACCAAACAAAGCTAACTGGTGCTTATTATATTTGAGAAATTATCTTTAAAAAAAATAATCAGTAAGATTCTCATGGCTATCAATGACTTTTAAACCACCATGTACATGCAGTGACAGTAACTTAGCTACATCTACAAAACACAGAAGTGCAAAAACTCAGCCCAGACCATAATGGGTACAAAAAATAAACAAACAATGGCAGCACAGCAATTAAGTAAGATTTTACACATTACAAAAGCTATCCATGGTAGCGACCTCTCAACTGAAGAGTTGTTGCCATCAGCTAGCTACTCATGACCAGCTGTATTGACCAGACTGTGGCGATTGGTTGTAGCTGTTGTTGCTATTACCCATGTATGGAGAGTTGTTGGCAGCATGAGCCTGAGTATAATTAATGGGAGTATTCAGGATGTTTCCCAAGTGAGATAAGTTGGGAAGAGCAGCAACTGATGGTTGACCATAGGCCATTTGGAGAGCTGCAGAGTGAGCCGGGGTCATTTGGGCCAGTGGCATGGGTGAAAGGCCTGAAGGAATGTTGGAAGACAACCCTGAAGTGGCAGGGCTGACAGAGTGGGCAGCAGGAGGGGAAGCAGAAGCAGAGTTTCCTGATGGAGACTGTGCTATGTCCTTACTGTCAGAGTCATCCTGTTCCTCCAGCTGCATCATCATCATATTAGGCTGCTTGGCCATTTGTTGAACTGAAGTACTTTGCTGTCAAAACAAAAACAAAAGTGTTATTCTGAAATTGATTTATACATTACTGGTTAAGAGTAAACAAAACTAACATAAATTCTAGTTGGTATGCTGAAGTTTCTGCTAATTTTTGATAATACCTGTTTTGTTATAATAGTTAAAATTTTCCTAAACTAAAAATGTATTTCAAGTAATACTTACCCCTGCTGACACTTTAGCTATTCCTTGCTTGACAATGGCTTTGCCTATCTAAACATTGGTCTTGCATGCTCCAGTCTTTTATACCCCACTTAAATGCCCTTGGTAATATCCAATTTGCAAATCCCCCTACCTGTGTCAAAGCACCCTCTATCCTGACTCTGTATATAAGCACATAACTCAGATAATGTAATCACTTTTTCTAGACTTACACCATCCCAGTCACTAATGCTGGCTCTTAGCAGGGAGGAAGGGCAGGAAAGTGTCAGGAGAGGTATTATTGGAAATAAATTTTCTATTTAGGAAAATGTTAACTTCCAAAACATTCTTACCCTCTGCTAGAATCCCACATTGATAAATTAGAGGGACAAGTGAGGGCATTGTCCATAAAGAAAGCATCTGTATAGAACAGAGGTGTACTAAGATAAGAGTGGTACACAAGTGGGGAAACCGCACTACATCCAGAACAGGTATGCTCTTCACTCAGAACTGAATATTGATATCAAGGTGGAATAGTACACGAGTAATTATTATAGGCCAGCCCCAACCAGATAACTTTTAACTCTTATTATAACAAAAACTAAGCAATAAAATATTTCCTCACTAAAATAATCAATAATATCTAAACTAAACAGTCGTTTATATCATGATAAATGTGAAATATAGATATATTTTTGATTGGATCCCAACCTGTAGCCAGAATTACAATGAGAAAGTAAGCAATACTGAAGTGTACAAACTTTCTCTTCCACCTGAAGAAATCCGAAAGGCACCACCCCAGGCTCAGAATGATGGGATCACATATGCCTTACTCAACCAGAGGAACATAACTCATCTGATCTGGAATTATGAACGTTCATCCTCGCTTTACAACCAAGTGGGCAAGGAGCATTCCACTTGCCCTCGGGATTAGGGAGAGGATGTGGAACACTGTGTTCAACCAAGGACAGGGTGAGACCACTTCACATTCGGAATTATGAGGAGATAGTGGACCTCCATCCACGAACAATATACAACTCAACATTGTCCATAAGAAGGGCCAAGCACACCCCAATCTGATAGCAAAGATTTGAATCTGAACCAATATTACAAGTAGGTTCCCACTGCTATCTGGGAGGGGGGGGGGCAGTTTGCCTTCTTTTCCAAGAGTTCCCTAAATTTTTAAAAACAAACCAACTCGATTTATTCAATCATATGACAGGCAGATATCCACTTTAGCTTTACTCGTGGTAGTCCATGATTGTATGGCAATACCATCCAGTAGTGTGCCTAGATGGTCATATGGAACACCTAATTTCTACAGAGCCTGTTGCAAACAGAATAAGTATAGTCAAATGGGTTGCTAGTGCAGAATTGGATTAATAAAAGCATACCTGTCTGGGCAACACTTGCCACAAAGTGGGATCCAATGAAAGCAAGATGTAAGGGACTCTGGAAAAGAAAGAGACCAGACAGGAATACCCCCTCCTTCTTATAATCTAGTAGATGTTGTTAAAAAGACCATGGAGGGAGTGGAAAACCCCCAGATTATATAAAGAATGTGAGAGAAAAGCATTAGGAGAAGTCCACATACAGGCCCGTAAAATGTCCCTCAGTGAATCAAAGAAATGGGCAGTGAAAGACAAATGTGCTGAAGCTGATGAGATGCAACTCTCAGAAGATTCCACGCCTGTAAAATCCAGAATATTCAACATGGATATCTGCAAAATCACCTCCAAGGAAGTGGGGATAAACCTTTGGAATCCGAAGTATCCCGAAGAAAACAGACGAGAACAACCATCACGAAAGGAGTTAGAGTGAGCCAAATGACAACTCTGAGCCTGACATGATAAAACAAATGATCAGCTTATGATCGATTGTATAAATGAGAAATAATTGGCAAAAGAATTATGGAGATGGATGTATCCCCGTACCTGGTGGCCAAAGACTTAGAAAGAATCTAAAGGGAGAGAGAGAGAGAAAATCCTACAAACATGTCAACAACTACAGCCGATGACATCAGCATGTCAGCAACAACAAAATACCCATTAAGGAAGAGATGATACATGGTACATGAGGCTAAAGACTTGATTAGTTGTTGAGACAAGGCATGTAGTACCACCTTAATATTTCAATTAAGTAATGGAAAAGGTCATTTTGGAAATAAGGCTGGATAGCACTGGGGAGTCCAAAACTATCAGATGTTTAGGATAACTAAAAAGGAGATGAAAAAGTTGTCTGACCTAAACGACAGGACACAAAGCTAAACCCAAGTAAAAAAAAAAAGGTCACGTATGAACAAGGATGCATACATACGCATGATAATGATAGAGGTGACCCAAACCAACCACCACTCAAAAATTAAGATGTTGCTCCTGATGAAAAAGACTGGAAAATCTGGTGGATTGAAGTTCCAGATTCATTAGTTGCAATGGGACCACTGAAGGGAAAGCATGTGTCCTCATCCCAAAAAATTCAAAAGGTTTGATTGAAACCCACAACCATCCCTGTAAGAAAGAGCTTGACTGCCCATTTCATAGCCTGGAGCTGGATGGGAGGTAGCTGAGTAGACTGTAAAACATGGTCAAAACTTGTACAACCTAGCAGAAGACATATGATGCTGTTGCTAGACCAATGCCTAGATCCCTGAACTGCAGAACTTGATCCCTGTATACAAAACATAGCTAAAGGCAAGATGAATTCACTAAGAGAATGTGGAGAAATGCCTCAGCAACCACAAACTTAGGCATCCGTGGACCTGGTAAAAAATGCCAATGTAGGGTGAAAAAGGACTCCATTATGGACTGGGGAGAAAGAATGACGATCATCCGCAAATATCCCCTCGTCTCAGACAACAAATAAAAAGGAATAAAATCCCAGAAGAATGGGATCAACTGTCACTACCACCCCCTGTGATCATTAACTCTGATAGCCTTGAAACAAAAAATCTGCACTTCACAGGTCAAGTGGAAATACCACCAGGTGAGAGGATAATGGAGGTGGAGAATTGAATGGAAAGACCAACCTCGATACCAGAACTTGAAGCGCCCACGGATTGTGAAGGAATACCAGATGCCCATCAATAATTGTAACCCCACTCTAACTGATCCCCCCCCCCCAGGTTGATACTGACACCATTGGTGTTGATTGGTCCAAATGTAGTAGTCCTGAAACTAATGTCCGATTCTATTCAGTTGCTAGAGCCAATGAAAGTTTGAGAGGTCAACAACAACAAAAAAGCAAATGGGTGATAGCAATTTGCAATAAAAATGCCCTGGGGCACCCACAAACATGAAGTGATGATAAAAAGAAGCCATATGTAACACCTAGAGGCTACAGCAGGTAGACAAAGTCCCTTCAACAAGATATCTCTACAGAAGGAACAGAAGCAGGCAATCTGACAAAGGTAGAAGTCAGTAGGAGACCCCAATGTGGGAACCATTGATAGGCTGCCAACAAATTGTAGGGGAAGAAATATCACAGAGCAAAAGTGAGGAGTAAACAAATACAATAAAAAAAAATGTGATTGGTTCAAAGTGATCACATGAACTAACCTGGAACCCCACATATCCAAAATTAAATAATTTTAGTTTGTGGAATTTAGGGATGCCCCCTAATAGTCGACCAAACCGTTAGTCAATGAGAAGAGTCTTAGTTGACCAAGTTTTCATTGGTCGGTTAGTCAGAGAAAGAAGAAACCAAAAAACCCTCAAACTCCATTCAGGAGCTGTGCCTTGTCGTTAAAAAATTAGACTATGTTGGGCAGGAAATCATCCAAAGTGTGGGATTATTCCATGTTGAGGCTACTTCTCCGTAGGCCTGTTTATTTTTGCACTGATATTTCTCTTTTAAGTGTTTTAGTTTGCTGTATATTTATTTATTCATTTGTTTATATAATTTATATTTATTTACATTTTAAAAAGAAATGAAAATATTCTTTCAATTTAGTTTTTTAACAAAAGGCTATTTTTTATTTATCATTTGTTTTATAAGTTATTGTGTTGGTGTTACAAGTTCATAAGTTGTGTGATGTTATACTGTGTTGAAATAAATTAACAAGATGTTCAGTCTCCTTGCTGGTTGTTCCGACACATTCAGAATCATTACCGCTTTTGCCATTAGCATTGTTGTTAATGGGCGGCTCGCTTGGTGCATGCGCTTGTAATATATTGTAAAGGATCATTATTACAGTTTTGTATTTCTCTGTAATGTAGCACAGTGTTAACGATGTTACTTATAACATTCTTTCTCAGCCCTAGAACTCAAACCATTTTCTGATGCCCCCAAAAATATATATCTAAGTAATTAAATTAATATCATAAACGTGCAACGACTAGTGGCTTGAACTAACGACTACAAGTCAACTAGGAAAATTTTTGATTGGGGCAGCCCTAGTGGAATTGAAAAGTACATCCCCTTGGAGATGGAAAGCCAAAGCATATAAACAGACAAATGGGGGTACAAGGTATATCTATCCCATCATGTAATAAGGCAGTAAATCTCTAGCATGAACCACGAATATCAGGTGAAGAAGGAAAAACTAAACAGTCCCCTTCACCCCCCAACATCAAGGGAGAAGTAGACTCAAAGGTCACAGAGAAAAGCCCCAAAATCTCATAACCCAAATGGCTAATTGAAGAAAAGGAGTAGGAGGTGATTGATCCAAGTTGGACTCATGAAAAGCCGACTTAATAAATAAAATATTAGAAAAATCGAGTCCAAATTCTCCCCAGAATAACCAAGATCAACAAAAAAGACAACTTCAGAGGCCCCAGGAGAAAAAACATATCAGGCTAAGTGTATGTTTCCATCTCCCAATGGATCAAAACATGAACAGCCTCAACTGAGAGTGACCCCTCCCGCCAACTGTAGAGAGACGCTAGATAACAAAGGAGGTCTAGGGCGGTCATATTAACTGCCATGCTGACAATGATAATACGGGAATTCATACCCGCAAGCATCATGTCCAATTTTTTTCTTAAGGAACTTATAATTATACAGAAATCTACAAGCCGGTGCAAAAATTGCAATCCATAACGAAATGAACCACATCATTTCATCAGACAAAACCATGACCAACGCTTTGTCAAGAATAAGTGATGTGCTTATATACAGTGTCAGGATAGAGGGTGTGTTGACGCAGGTGGATGGATTTGGAAATTAGATATTGCCAAGGGCATTTAAGTGGGGTATAAAAGACTGGAGCATGCAAGACCAATGTTTAGATAGGCAAAGCCAACAATGAGGAATAGCTAAAGTGTCAGTGAAGAGAAAGTATGTTTAGGAAATAACAGTTGTGACAGCAGAGAAGCGAGTCAACAGAGTAAATAAGTATCACATCTGCCATACAAGAAATACACCAGAAATACTTACAAGTTTATGTTTTAGAATTTTATGGATGCTGATATGTATAAAAAGAAATACAAGAGGAGTAAACATGTGTTTACCTGTCTACGGTACTCTTCCATTGATTGTTCATATATTATTTTGGCTTCATTCTGTTTTTCAACATAAGGCTGCTTCTCTTCTTCAGTCATGTTTCTCCACTGTTCACCACCTATGAAAGAAAAATAAATTAAAGGCCTTTCCACAATGTCACTTGCTCACTAGATCTGAACAACTGACAGAAGTTTTTAGATTAGTCTTTAACCATTTCTATATGTGGTTGTCAAGGTTATGTCAAATTAACTGACTTTAGCCTTAACTAGCTCAGGTTAATAACAAGTGTGATAAAATACTGGATTTGAAAACTTCAAGATTTCTGTGTATCTCTACATTATTTGTGATGTTTCTTAAAATAATTTCACAATAGTTTGTGAATCATCTACTGAAATTGGTAGAAACTAATGTATTTCTTTCACATATAATCTAAGAACCTTGCTAATGCTTCAAAACGTACTCATTATATTAAGAGATTTTTTATTTATAATTACACATCTTATCATTGGTAATCAATTGTTGTTTGTTCCACAACCTTTCACCTAATGCACAAATAAAGTATTCAATCAGAGGAAGTAAAAACAATTCACTATACAAATCTATTATTTCTTGTGATAATAAGTCAGTATTTAGTGATTCAACACCTTATCTTTTAATGTCTTCATCAAAAGTTAAAGATTTTAAAAATCCAACTCTATTGTTCACTATGTTAAATTTTCACATGTGCTTCAAAAAGTGTGCTAGATAACCAGGTAACCTATGATTATCAGTACTGAATTTAGAGACGTTTGGTGCTACCGAATGTACAGTGAAATAAAAAAAGCTTTGCATTTTCAAAAGATTTAAAATCTCTTCAAGACATTGCTAGAACTAATTTTGATACTGAGTCATTATTTACCAATGTACCTTCGCAAGACAGGAATGTGCATAATGATCCAATTTTTGCTTTCTATGACATTGTGAATTACTTCTGCTATTTCTATTTATTTGATACCTATAAAGAATAAGTAGGTTTGGTCCTGTCAATGGCACTAATCCCTAAAGGAGTAGATCTGGATTAGCTTTACAATCCAATAAATTTACACTTACTACAAACAGAGTCACGTACTTAAATAAAACGTGGTGCAGTTTACAGTAAAAATTGTACTACTCATATCTATTGTTTCAAACTGTGTTGTGTACAATTTGGATACTGGTATAAAATGTTCATTTATATCTCATGTATGCAAGTTTACTATAACATAACTAATTTTATACCCGAACTTGCTGAAATAACAACATATATAATGATGATTCGAATGTTTCATATGCATAATTTCAACTGATTTGTTCTACATAAATATTTTCTGTACCTTACTTTGACATTAAAGTACCTAATTCAAATTCTCACATGAAGCTTTCATTACAGTAGCCACAGTAAGCAAAAGTTCAGTTTCCTGAAACTGATATTATTTTCACACATTACTCTAGAAGCATTAATTTACACTACACAATTTCCTGGATTGTAATAAACTTACACTGTTAGTACAGAATTAGCTTTACAAAAAATGTTTTAAAAATAATACAGAAAGTATTTTGTTACATACATTAACATCAGACACACAAAGCCCTTCACCTTAAGTTCTAACATTACAGGAGAAATATTTGCTGATGCAGGACATGCAGCTACAAAATATTAACTACAAAGTTTCCTGTTTATTTTCCTCTAACCAATCAGATATTGAACTATATTTTGCACAGAGATAGTGATAAATAACATATTTAAATTTACTCTGTAGTTTGGCTCTCATTAAGCCTAAATCAATCTCTTAAGCCATTCTAAAGCTCTCTCTCTCTCTCTCTGTGATCACAATTTACATTATAAATATATATTTGGGTCTAAACACATTCTTCCAGTGAAATATAAATTGATTCAGTGTGTTAGCTGCTAGAAAAATTATGAAGACTATATGAAAAATGTGAAGATGTCTCAAACTACTGAAAAAAACCAGGTGCAGATACTTAATCAGGTGTAAAGTGAAGAGTTAAATGGACCATACATTTATGTAATAACTTGTACCAGAAGAGCTGCTCAAATTCTTCAATGAATATTTGAATTTATGATAAATCTTCACTGAGTAACAAGCAAACCACAAAAAAGCTACTATGAACATACTGCCTTAGGTCCATCAGTTGGATATCTTCACTGTTAGCAATAATTACTTCACTGACAATGGCATATTTTATAGCTCAGTAATATGAAGGAAGCTCAAATGGTGGTGCATTTTTCACTCTGAAGTAGCAATTGCACCATGAGGGTATTTCAGCTACTACAAAACATGCAAAGCCAAATTATCTTTTACATGGATTTTTTTGCAATACAAAAACCAAAGGCACATGTATAAAGTACTACAGGCATTGATAGCACAATTAATACAAGTTGTAGAAGTATTAATATAATTAAATTAAACAGTCAATCATATGTTGTATGGAAGAGGTAAAGCTTACACACGTTAGTTTAAGCCTAATACCTTACTAAAGGTGGTCATATAAAAAGTAAATTCATATGAAGTATTTCATATTTTATTATTATTCCTTCTTTAAGTATTGTGTTGGTAAACATAATAGTAGTAAAAAAATTCACAAGCTATGAACAGATTTCTCATTCAAAACAGGAATTTTGTAGTCAAAGTGCAATATTATTCCTGAAAAAGACTATGCTACATAGCATTTAGTTAATTTTTTCCCTCAAAAATATACACAATGCAGCTGTTAACAAAAACACATTATTCTTGTTTTCTTTAATAAAATTAAGTCTTTCTCTTATACCAGGAATGTCACTAGTATTTATAGAAGAAGGAAACTGAAAGAAAGTAAAAAGGAGGGGGAGTGTCTGGAATCCTCCCTGAATGGGAGTTGGGGGGGGGGACATTTTTTATAATGGGTCTGAAAAGCAAAACTTTCTATAAGAAATACATTTTTTTTAAATTCAAAGAGAATGTAACTGGCATGTGGTAAGGTTGTTTTTTTTACTTGCTTTTTCTCAAGTATAACCATGAATTTCCTCTTGGGACACATCACTTTTAGTCTTTTTCAGAGTTAAAAAAAAAAGCTAGATATTTTCATTATATAATCTAAGTCATGAAAATAACCTGACAATTAAATATATATAAACAAACTGGATGTAAACAAATTATATGAATTGAAAAGTTTTAAAACAACAGAACTTATTTGTAGTCAACTCATACAGAATAACATACACAAATTATACATGGAAAATCATCACTATGTTGAGAAAGTTGTCTAGTTCCTAAAGAACTGCACTAGATAGAACCTTTAAATTTTGGACATTAAAAAACAAAAAAGGAAAATATACAAATGAGAATAGCCAGGAGCAAAGGCGAACACAGATGGAGTAAAAAAAAACCAGAATCCTAGTCTTATTAAAATCCCCTGCATTTACATTTATAAAAGTTATATACTTTGTAAAAAAGTCTGCTTGAAACTGTTGTAACAACAATTTCTTTGCAATATTTATTTTTCTATACCATTTTTTCTATAACTAAAATACAAAACATGAATAAATAGAAATTAACAATCACTGTCATGTTAAAAGCATTCTATAGTTGCTAATTATTAATCTTACTAGTTACTAGCTAACATAATACTTAAAAGTAGCAGTAAATCTACAGCATTTTATTCTAATTTTTTACCAACATTTAGTCAATATGTACATATATAAAGCAAAATTGTTTCTAGTAAAAAATTTAAATACAGTAGAACCTCAACATTAGGGGCACCTTTCTGACTGCATTCAATATGCCCTCTATAGCAAGGCTCCCTTAATATAAAAAATGAGCCATGCAAAGCTGGATTCCACATTGACTGTACTACATTTTTGAATTTTAAGCCCCCCCCCCATTTTGTTTGGTGTATGCATTTGATGTATGAAAATACATGTACATGTAAAAAGTTACTATGCATTTGTACAACACACACATTAGGTAATTAGCACAAATACATGAAAAGAAAATTTATATTCTTATTCTTTACATCATTGGTTATGTATTCACTTTGTAAAAAAGTCTTTAATATATCAGTGTTTGTTAAATTTACACTGGTGGTGTTGCAATTGACCCTTGAGAGTCATGACAATGTCTAAAATGTCCAACAAACCCAACCCAATACAACTGTTTTAATACAATACTCTTGAGAGCAACAATGCATGCATACAGAAATAAGCCAATTTGATCACTGCTCTTAGAACACAATGTGGAATTTGTCAGCTTATGTATCCTACAGTGTTTACAACAAGAGTTCCCAGGATAATAAGATAGTAATTTGAATCTGTGAAAACATTTATTATAGTATATGGTTTGGAGCCAATCCAATAAACATCGCAAGTGTTTGAATATTGGTCATCCTTCTAGGATGCTTGGAATTTAGTGGTAAGCCGTACAGGTGTACAAAGATACTTGTGCAAATAGTTATAAAATCCTATTTCCTTTTCAGCAAACTTATTCATCACCCAATAAACATTCTTTATTCAAAAATGTTTAAATTTTATTTATTTTTATTAAAACATAGAAGAATAAATATAAAATACTTTGAAAACCAAGATATTGTATACTCACAATGTTATAAATTATTTAATAAAATTTAGAAAATAACTCTCTAAAAAGTCATGACATGCACTTTAATAGGCCCACAGCGAAAGAGTTAACTCTCACTTTATATAGAGAACGAGACTAAAGACACTGCCTTTAATCTGGAATATTGAGATGTCCATTAATGCAAGATTTATTTTGGTTACAAACAACAGAAAAAAGAAAGAGGCTGAATAGGTCTGCCGTAAATGACCACAGTTCCAATTGTTTCAAAGTACTCCTTAATCAAGGTTCTACTGTACCATTATAACATTATCATTTTTTTCAATTTTACTGGATATAAAAATTTCACTGTTACTTTGTTTATTCATCAAATTAATGCACCAAGTCTTCTATTTGCCTCTTACCCTTCCTTTGTTCTTGAAATATTATCACACGTTCATAGTACAATCTTGTAAACAAAGAATAGACATATGGCATCAGCCCACTAACAGTCCCAATGTGCTGTTCGATGGGAGCGGTGTATTTTTAAAATATCATTGCTGCTACATCCGTTATATCTAGTGCAGATGAGGCCTTTCACTCAATACCAGGTCTCATTAGGCTGGCTGAGATACAACAGACATAGCAATGATCTAGGCAATATATATATATATATCATCAATTTTTATGAACAACTTTTAGGGTACGAATTGTATTGAGCAAGTGAACTGTAATTATTATCAATCTTATTTCAGTCATTTTGAAATCTGAATTTTAGGCACGATTTAATAACAACAGTATTTAAACTGTTTATTTATTCATTATTAATTTTATTGTTTTATTTGAATTAAGTTATAAATGTACTGGGAAGCAACATATAATAAATCATCCACTAAAACTTATTTGCAAAAACTGGAACAGTAATAATAGTTTTAAAACATGACTATCTTTTAGTATAAATTTATTAAACTCAATAAAATGTGGACTTTTTGGTTGATATAACCTTTTTGCAACAGCAGCTCCTTTAAACTCTTTTCTGCACAAGTCACCGTGTTACATTCAAAATTTAATTAAACACCTTTAATATCAATGTATGTAAATGAATTTAATATTATAATGTGTTATGCTCCAAAGTTTTAAGTCCTTTAATATAAAATAAATCTTAAAAAACTACTTAAAGCTTCAGATGTATTGTCACGTGACCAACGAGCTATGAAAAATCTCTACTTTGGTTCTCTGTACCTTCAATAATATAATGATAATATAGTAGAGATATGTATAGCCACTAAGATGCTTACATAACCTTTTGACTTGTTCCTTTCAAAGTTCAAAGTTAAAACAAGTACTAAATTTTTTCAACCCGACAGCCGGCTTGCCCACCTTCAACAGATTTGTTTGAGCTTTAACCCTTCCATGTAGATGCTACATACACGTGTGTGTGTGTATATATATAACAATTAGAAAGAGCTCATTTTACACTATATATATTCATGATGGTGATTTTGAATTTGGCACCAAGTCTTCATCACAGAGTACACAAAATTGACAATAGTATTGTTGGTTGCTTGATCAACTATAGCACTTATGGTTGTTTCTTACCTAAATATGTTATAGTTAGAGATAGTTTAAATTGTATTTACGTCTTACAATTAAATTTTAGTTAATTATGTATTAGTTATGTTTCAAAATGCATAATTAAAAGGTTTAAACAATTGATAAATATACATCACACTTCATATCCATTCTTACAATATTACGTGCTGAATGAAAATTTTACCAACGGGTTGTGCTTGTCTCCCAAAGAAACTGTAATATGCCTCGAAGACACCATTTACTTGTGTCGAGATTAATAATAAGTTGTAAAAGACAACAAAGAAAAATAAAACATTAATAGTTAACAATATGTAAAAATGAAAAGAAGATGAAATTAGGAATTTAACAAAAGGAAACTCTTTAAAGTTATTCTACAAAAAATTAAAGGTATATATATATTTTTTTCTTCTATTTTCAAATTTAATTATGTTGTTGCATTGTATGTTGATGATAATAGCTAGAGTTAGTGATATGGTAGAGAAAATGAAAATAAAATATAAAAATTTACCTTAAAAAACTTTTGATATTTTTTTAGGAGGTTCTAGAGATTATGGAAATGAAAAAGTATTTTTATATTCAAAATGAAATTCACTTTGCACTCAATTTGTTAATAGTTTGAATGTGAGTAACTTCAATAGCAAAATAACATATTTAATAAAAACACTTAATTATAAAACTGTCATTATTTGTGTACAAGCTACTTGTGATCTTTAACGAAATCTTACCAGTTTTTGAGAGGATAAGTTAAGAATTCTCAGAGTTACCTCATGTATTGTTGTATAAGTGCAATTCATGACTTGATTTCCGCAAATTGCATGAGCCTGCCACGAAAGGGATAATTTCAAGTTAGTTTTTATCACAGTTCAGTTTTATGGAATGTTTCATTAATAAAATTGCCTATGCAAATAACAGAAGTGAAAATTTCACTGACTAATAACCACCTAGTTACATTATTTGGGTATTTTAAAAGAAAATGCATAAAACTTTTAGAGCCAATTCCTTTATTTCAGGGTGGGTCAAGTTACCACAAAATATTTTTTTCCCTAGGCCTTATAAAGGCTATACCACAACTGCAGCTTACTTATAGATAATCAATCACAGAGTATGTTTATACATTATTCTATACAATATAAAGTACAATGTGGAAGAAAATGTATATGCCATATTTTTGTTTTGTTACCTTAATAAAATAATTGATACTTCCAAATTTGAAAACTACATTAATTTATTGATTTTGTTATTGTTTATTGAAAATTAATTAGTACATTTACATTTTTAACTTATCACATGGGGATGCAATGAATAAGCAGAAAAAGAAAACTGCTTTGTGAGCACTTGTTTCAGGATTAGTGTTGAGGGGATTTAAGATACTCTAGTGCCTGTTACAAACAACACACAATGTAGAAAAAAAATAAAATTGTAATTTTTTTAGAACTAAAGAAGAAAGTTATGCAAATTATAAATTACAATGTAACACAATATAAAAACAGTAATTTTACAATTTATTAAACATTAAAGAAACCAATTATGCAGTTATAAATAAGGAACATCCCACAAAAACACAGTACATTTACACTTTATTTAACACTAAAGAAGCCCCAGAATTGACAGATGGTTGTCGGCTAGTTGCCTTTCTTCTAGGGACAGTGGCAGATAGTCTTTGTAGCTTAGCCAAAACTCACACACACAAGAGCACTATGAATGAAATGACAAACATGTTTGGTAACAATGAGAACTGACCCCCCAGACTCTTGAATCACGAGGCAAACCCCTTTCAAATTACCACACCATGCTGACTCATAAATTAACTTAAACTAAAAAATAATGCTAATATTTTGATTACTTGGATAGATGGAAAGATGAAAATAGTAACAATATGAAATCCTAATTTTGATTAGTTAGCTATTTCTGTGAATCACGACACTAATGAATTAAATCAAAAACAATAGTTAAAAAATCTTAATGACAATATTTAGTTCACTTGGATAGTTGGAATACTCAGAAACTGATTTCAATTAGTTGATTATTATTGATTAAGCTGATCAAACTTGAATTGAAAATAATAATGAGAATTCATAATGGCAATATTACAATTACTTGGTTAGTTGGAATAATCAAAATACTAAGTTTGATCAGTTCATTATTCTATGTGACATTAATCAATACTTATAGGTATTCAATTAACTAAGTTAATCATCCAACTATTTTATGACTAACATTTTCTACACACATACACAAAACTACAAATGGAAAATGCCAATACAAGGCAAATAAAATTAATGATACAGGTACACTTGAACTGCAGCCACATGCACCATAAGTAATTTATGCTGTGTAGTATTAGTCAATGAAACTCAGCCACAGCTCATATCTAATTATGAATGTGATAGTGGTTGACTGATTTGAGTTTTGTGCTCAATGCATGCTGTTGCTTGCATCTATTTTATAACATGACAATTATGCATTAGTAAAATGTCACAGCTACTTCATGAGGTGTTCTTCGCATATTTAGATATGCAGGCCTGCATTTTGAGTAGAAGATTATTTAACATATACATTATTCATAAACAGAAGATCTGAATTAACTATTTGCTGTTGAAATATACAAACTTCCACAATTATATGGACTTCATATGTAATATTTTTCATATACAAGTTTAAAGAATTAAATACCCAATAAACTAACTTACCCAAAAATGCATGCATTAACACAAGTACAGCACTTACAAAAGCGAGTTAGTGAAGTACATATTTACTTATCAGTTGAAATGAACTTCATTTAAAAACACAAGCTCATAAGTAATAGGGAGTTGAATAAGTTCATATATAATGTAGACTAAAAATAGAGTGCCAAATTCAGTCATGTCACAAATAATAAATATAACCCCCCCCCAAAAAAAAATTTAAATCAAGCACTTTAACTTGCCTAACTTGGCCATAGCTGCTACACCTCCCTCTGGTTCTTTCCCTGCCATTCTTTTTCGAAAGTCAGACATAAACAGCATGAAGGCTGTTCCTGGTCTTTTAGGTTTGTTGGAATCACGAGCAGGCTTATAAATGGCCATCTACATATTAGCAGAAATAACAACAGAAAAGAAAATTTAGCTTGGATTATTAGTTATTATTCGAAAGTAATTAGATTTTTATAAATGAATGGATTAACCTTGAAAAAGACAACTTTTACAAATAATAATTTCCAATCATTATATTAAGTTTTTTACTTTCACACATTAAACTTTTCAACGTACATATAGCTATGAATTAATAAATAACCTCTCGGACAAAAAAATGTCTTTAGTATACAGCAAAGAGATCTAAAATATTTATATTTAATGTAAAGAAGTGAAATTGGAGGAAACATGAATAAAAAAGGAGGTCCAGGGATAAGCCCTGACTGAGAAACGGGTGAAAAGCTATTGAAAGCTCAAACAGTATATGGTTTAAAAACTCTTCTTTTCCCATCCACATGGGCCAGTTCTTTTGGGCTTGCCTAGAACATCTAATTTCTAAGTATGCTTCCGAGAGGCAGTTCCACAACAATTTTTACAGCTATCAACTTCCACGGATCTTTCATTTTGGGATCAATCTTATTAACATCCAACTCATGTTGAAAGATTATAGAATACATTTAATAGCTTCATATTTATCTAATGTCACATTGTCAAAGAGTTTGTAAAAGACCACACCTAACTGGTTGAACATCCTAGTCAGCATGTTATATGATATTACCCAGACTAGAAATTCTGTCTTTATTACTTATATACAAAGATAGGGATTGAAATATAACATTCCAACATTCCCAAGGAATTTAACTTTGCTTGAGCATTTCATCTTTTTAGTTGGCTTTCCCAATCAGGTACGCACAGTCCATCTGTATTTCTTTCGTTATGACCGATGAAAGTGAACATATTGCATGGATTAATTAAAAAAAACAATTCATGAGGAAATACATCTTTACACGAGGGAATGTAATCATGGATGTCCTGAAGAAAAAAAAATCTGCTAAATGTGTGCCATATTTTCAGAGTTATCAATTAGTATGCGAAGATTTTTCACCCTGTAACATTAAAGACAATATGGACTGGTTCCATACTTCTCTTCTATAGCGTTCTCTGTCTTTACTTGAAGCATCAATGAAAGGCTGCTTCTCCTCCTCTGACATAGAATTCCACTTAGCAGCACATTCTTTACCAAAATCACCAATCTGAAAATAATTTAGTGTATATTAAGGCTCTGCATTTCAATAATTCTCTTTGGAAAAACACACACCATACTAATTTATAAAATTTGAAGCAACTCTAAAATAATTCCTTATTTGGCCCAAATTTCAAAGAATTAAATATTTTCAACTAGATAGATAAACAGTCCAAATTGTCTACATATAAACATCAAAAATGAAAAAATATTACCATTGTAACAGTGCTCCAATAGCTAGTGTATCCACATGATTTTTTGAGAGATGTGACATTTTTAGTTTACACTTATCAGTTATGGATGTAATATCACTGTTATGCTACAATATGAACAGGTGTGCTTACTTGTCTCATACTGTGAAAATGGTTGCATCATGCTTAAAAAGAAAGCAAACCACAACTAGGAGTGTAACAATACACTGAACTATTGATAGTTTGCAAACTTGATTATTTTCCCCATCCTGTTTATTTATGCCATTTCTTGGTAATTTCCCTTTAATTTAGACTGGTTTCATGGTTTTTACTCACCTGTAAGCCTAAAAAAAGCACATGTATCACATCTACATTAGTTGTGTTGCTCATTCAACAGAATGAACCATATTGAAGAATTAATGATTGCTTCAATTCTGAAGTTACTAAGTGTACCTTCATGAAACTTGGCAGTTTTTTAGTAAGTGTGAACAGTATGTTGTAAATAAAAAAATAAGATTTAATGAATCAGATTTAAGTATTTTAATGAAACATGCATTTCATGATAGGGATAACTTATTTTCATTTTAAGGTTTTTATATTTTATTTGCATTATCTCTAGAGCCTCCTAAATGAACATCAAAAGTTGTTTTTTTGGAAACACTGTATTTTATCTGTAGACTTCTCTATGCAAATAATAAATTTACTTCCAGCGTTATTACAGACAAAGGAATGGTTGAAAAACATGAAATAAATTGACTAATACAGTTCTTTCCTTTCATGTATAGACCTTGAAGTTACAACTTACTTATATTCACAGTTTAAACCTATTTTTTTTTTATTAAGTCTGTTTTCTGTTGTATTTTTATTTTGCAGTGTAGAGTAGTAATTCCCCCTTCCTGGATAATAAAGCAATAAAACAAAGCACTAGCCATTACACCATTTCCAGCAAACATTACTTCTGCTTTGAAAAGCATGCAAAAAATGTTGCATAACTGAATTTATTTCACTTCAATGTAGATTAGTAGAAGAATAACATTTGTTCAGTGGACAAACTTGTAATTATATACTAAAACTGACCTACAAAGTACAAATCTGTAGCTAGCATACTGGTATTTTGTCAAATACAATGACATTTAGATTACCATGTATTACAACATATAATGAAATCACATAATTGTCAGAAATTAAAATATTCAATGCTTTCTTTTTGCTAATTGTCAAAATAAAAGGCTTTTATTTATACTTCTTAATAGTATAAATATATACTGTGTTGTTGTTTGGCTTAGGATTCTTCTACAATAGGTGTCTGTGACTTGTTAACGGTAAATTCAATGATTAATGAACATCGCACACATCACTTGTTTTCAATATATACATACATACATATATTCAGATCAAGTTAAATGTATGTACAACAAATTCTTCACACTATAGAGATTATAGGCACATCACAGACTATATATATAGTTCTCTTCTTGTCAAAAGTACACTTAGACCTATTCAATTACTATCACACTAATATTCTGTGTGTCATTCACTTACAATTGTGGTGGCGCGAGTTACCGTAATCATTTGGTCTTCTTTCTTCTGAAGATCCTCTGTTCCTTTTGTCAAAGTGCACTCAGGCTGATTCAATTACTTTAAAACCATGCTTTGACGGAATAAATAATTTTGTAATTCATTTTCTACTGTTAGTCTTACTCTAACATAACGTTAAGCCTATGTCAATTGTTAGGCCTATCACTTCTACAGTAGTTAACTTCACATCAAACTTTTCTTGCCTGTAACTTTGCTCTCTTTTGTCATTATCTGTCTGCTGTTCCTGCCCATCTCACACTATTTATATCTTTATCACTTAATTGTCTTTCCGCCTTCTATATTCTCAATGACAACGTATTGCATGTGACGATCAATATTCTCAACATCAATGAATTATAAACAAAACTTCCTTTAATTGTCTGCTTTTAACTCTTATTATAAGAAAAACTAAACAATAATAAAATATTCACTCACAAAAATAAATTAATCAATAACATCTAAACTTAAGTCTTTTATATCATGACAATTATAATAATAAATCAGTTTAACTGACATTTCTGAAATTAATTCTCAGCAAGTACAAGTACACGTTGTATACATACTCCAATAGTATCGCAATAGTCAAAATCTGCATCAACAGTCACCCTAAGCCACAAGTGTTTAGACAAATATAATCCTACATTGAATGATCTATTATCAACCAATTAACAGTTGGTTTTGCCATGTAGTTGCATTTATTTTGGGGATTGCTTTACACAACCATTTTCATATGCAGAAATTTTTTTTTATTACTAAAAGTAAAATAAAATAAAGGAACAATAGTAAAAATAACACGATTTAATTTCTTATTTCCATACTTAGCCATTCCATAAGAGAAGTGTTGTGACAACTTCTTTTACTGAACACATCATTAGACCTATACTAGGATTTTACAACTTAGTGCCATATTTTGAAGTTGAACTTTGATATACTTGCACATTTCACATTCAAAATGCTCCTGTCAACACAGACATCAACCAGAAGTTTTTTCATTTACATTGGAAATCCCTAAACCAACTTCAGTTGTTAATTCCATACTGGATGAAATAATTTAAAATGTCACAATTAAATCAAAAACACGCAGGTAAGTGCCATGTTTAAAATAGCTGCATGATAAATAGGTTCTCAGAAGTTTTACTTCTCTCCCTTATCAACAAATTTAAAACACACCAGTGAATCCTGGCTTTATTATGCAGAGATGAATAAAGCACTAGGCTATTATGGTATACACACACACACACACACATATATATTAATGTTTTTGAAAAATTTTTTGTGTGCAAAGTCAGAGCTTCCAAGTGAAACCATAAATAAACTCCTAGATTTTCACTACTTGGTTGGTTTGAAAACCGAAATGAAAAACCTAGGATGGATCTAAATTAATGAAATGCAGAAGATCATATCAAACTGTTTACGTTGTAACATTGTGAAACATCTTCAAAATTGTGACTTTTATATCATGATAGATGAGTCATGTGATCTAGGACTTTACAACAGCTAGACATTTGTGTAAAGTATGTGCATAAAGTCAATATTGAGGCATCCTACCTAAGGAGTGTAAAGCTTGATGATGGGAAGCCTATACAATTACCTAATATTTGAATGATAACACATCAAAAACATTAAACAGCCCTACAGTAAAAACTGCAAAAATGTGTAACATTCAGAGCATTTTCAATGACAAAGAATTGCAAACCAAAGAACCACACATTGTGAGATGGATGAGCATGAGAAGTGCAGTTAATGCTGTGTATCATATCCTGCTGTTGTAACAACTATTTCTGAACTATGTACAACAGATGTTACAGCTAAATCACTACACATGTACTTTAACAGCTCTAAAATGGCTTTAATTACGTGCCTCATATTAGATGTCCATAACGAAATTTAGGTGTTAAGTTGTAGATTTCAGGAGGAAAACCTGGTATTCAGTCAAGTGAGACCACTTTAGCTGGACTGGATGAGCTAAAAAATGTGGTGAAAATTACAGTAAATGGTAAGCACTTTGGAACATAATGATGGGTGTGTGAAAGGTGTAAAACTTTGATTCAGAAGTAAAGCAACTCATGAGTAAATATATAAACAGACTTTATCAGAACATCACCAATAGGCTTACACAAGATGATGGAAACACCATTCGTAATCTTGGATCCATACTTGACCTTCTATTTTTGATGAGAATCCAGCAGATGGGGCATTACTGATCTTGCAGATTCTTATGGAACCAATAAACACACCAGAATTTCAAATGATGCTGGGAAAAACACTGATCTGGTACGAAATGAATGGCCTAGACCAAAAGGTATATTGAAAGTTGCATGTAAAAACTTGAAAACTGAGTACTTGTGTAATAGGGGTTATTAAACTGTTTGGTGACCAATTTCCTAAATTGTCCAAATTGTGTTAAATAGCATTATGCTTTTGTGTAACAAATGTTGATTGTGTAAGAGCATCTTCCATATAAAACAGGCTCAAGACAAAATTCAAATGCTCTATGCAAGCTGAAATGACAGAATGAGAATTGTAATGTTAGGTCCAGAAATTTCAATGTATGATCCCAGTTCTACAATTAAAATGTGAGACAGTGCTAAGAACGGAAGAGAGGTGAGGCTTTCACAACCATACAGAGAATTAAGACAATTAAAAATAAATAAATGTGTAAATTGTGTGTGTGTTTTTGTAGTATTTTCTTGATTAGGGGAGAAGGCTACTTGAAAGGTACATGAAGCTGATACTGGCATTAAATATCTATAGATCATAGTATTATTTAATGGGAATTGTTGTTTTAGTGATGAGCTCCAAGTAGTTCAATAGAACTAAACGATAAGTTGAAATCTGTATATTATTTTGAGTAAGTTGGGTGAATGACCTTACAGAATTTATTCATTGCAGTGAAAAAGTTCTATGGTATTAACTGTCTGCATTTGAGTAGGATAGGGGTTGATCTTTTCATAAAGGTTATTAATCTAGTTATTCAGAAGGCTATAGAACTATTATTAAAGAGATGAATGAATAAATGTCGATTTGATAGCACTTGAAAAAAGTAGTTTCAATCAAGTTCTGGTTATAGAAGAGTTTAACTTCAGAAGTATCAACTGGGATTGTTTTAAGCTGGATAGTGATGGCAAAAGTTCTTTACAATTAGTACAGTACAGTATTCTCCATCAATTAGTTATGGAACAAAATAGAGATAATGTTATTTTGGATTCACTATTAATCAATAACAATGACATTATTGAAA